CCCCACCCACCCCATCTGTGCACAGGGAAAGGGCAGGCTGCTGCTGCAGGCTGGGGCAGCACTAGAATCTTCCTGGGGGTGGTGGCAGTGGTGGTGCTAGGAGGGGGACTACCACCCCTGGCACCTGGCTGAAGCGCAGCCCTGCCCCCACCACCGCTGGGAGGAGCCCAGTGTCGCCTCTGGCCCCAGTCCTCAGCGCAGCCCATCTTTGCTTCACCCATGGGTGGACAGCACACAGGTCTAGGGGGCACACAGCCCCCCATGGCTCCCCTGGGGGTGCATACGGCAGTGGGAGCTGCCCCTCCCCTCCTTCCCCCTGTGCACTCTGGACAAGCTGCTCATGGTTCTGTCCCATGCCCTACCCCAGTTGCACTCCTTCCGTCACTGCAGGGGCCTCAATATGTTGCCCCCCTCCAACAGACTTACCAGCCGGATGCTACTTTCCAAGCTGCTGAGCTGCATATTGGCTGTTGGATCCATATCAGCCAATATGGCTCATTAATAATCAGCCATCAGTATCAGCCTGAAAATGTTTATTGGTGCACCCCTAATTATTGTGTGTGTGGGGGAAAACCCAGTAATCTGGAGAACTCCATTTGACTTCAGCCAGCTTTCTGTCAAACACTAAGACTTATAGGCAAGTGAGTTGTAAATTGTTATCCTTTAAAAAAAACAATACAATATGTCAGATAATGACATAAGTTGTTTGCAGAGAAGTTCATGAACAGCTATTCAAGCCTAAACTGCAAAATGGCATTGCTGTAACAATTTACTATACCTCTTGTTGTGCTGAGTTTAGGCCTTCACTTCAACAGACAAACAAACAGCTTTCTGTTTCTCTAACACATATAGTCTCTTATTATAAAATCTGCTTCAGATTATTTTAAGTCTGTGTGAGTCAGAGTGGAACACTGAAATGGTAAAAATGCCACAAGGTAATTCAGTTCCAGCTGTGTAGCAATTTCCTGGTGTCCTTTTGAAAATACAGCCTTACAGCCATGGGAATGACATAGTTAGCTTTGCTAAAAATAGAAAGCAAATTCCATATACATTCTCTTTGTATGAGAATTGAGACTTGGTTAATTTTTAGGCATTTATGTGCTGTCAGATGAAACGGAGGTTTAAACTTTTTGTAAACTGTAAATTTGTTGCATAATTGTTGCCTCACTTCTGAATATCTTTTTAATGAATCAGAAATACATTCTAGCTGTGCTTACAGCTAATGTGTATTAGTCCTCATGCTATCATTATGCAGATTCAGAGCTGCACACTTCCCTGTACTTACAATAAATAGGGCATGTCTACTTGTGCAGTTAATGCACATGAATAAACTCTGAAGCTTATTGTGCTGGAGTTTATTGTTCCTGGGTGTGCAGTTTGAATGTGCCTTGTCCCAGCCAGCCTCTTCACAGCATGTTGAGCCAGGTCAGAGCAGCCCCATCTGGCAGCGGGTCCACAGGGTCAGCCTGCCAGCCGAGGGCTGCTGCCCCCAGATCAATGTGCTGCAGAGGGGCTGTCTGGGACATGAGGGTGCTTCAGTGTAGGGCTAGCTGGCAGGCATCGTCCTCACTGAAGCACCCTCATGCCATAGACAGCTGGGGCAGTGTCTACATGTTCACTGTTGCAGAGTAAAAGACTCCACAGCAGGATAGTACTTGCATTTACAAGTACTATCCTGCTGTAGAGTAAATTAGTTTACTCAAGCCTAATAAGAGTGTACATGTAGATATGTAACTTTTTTACTGTACAGCTAATTAATCTACTGTGCAGTAAACATCTTGTGTAGCGTAGATGTGCCCATAATGCTCTTAAATAGTGAACCTCTTCAATTAATGCCGCTTTCTTATCTCTCTTCTTTCCTTCTCATATTGGCAGAATAATCACTGTTATCTCTGCAATAACTGCACTGATAATTTCATAGTTGGTAGGGTTGGAAGGGACCTGAGGAGATCATCAAATCCGACCCCCTGCCATGGGCAGGAAAGAATGCTTGGGTCAAACGACCCCGGCTAGGTGATTATCTAGCCTCCTTTTGAAGACCCCCAGGGTAGGAGTGAGCACCACTTCCCTTGGAAGTTGGTTCCAGATCCCAGCCACCCTGACTGTGAAGTAGTGCCTCCTGATATCTAGCCTGAATCTATTCTCCGTCAACTTATGGCCATTATTCGTCATTACTCCCAGTAGTGCTCGGGGGGAACAGGGACTGTCCCATAGCCTGCTGGTCCCCCTTGCCCCTTCTCGTGTAGAGGCTGAACAGGTTCAGGTCCCGTAGCCTCCGCAACTGTCTGGCATCTGTCTGGCAACTGTCACCTATACTGTGTCAAAGTTTAATAAATCTAACCTTTATTAATTGGATATTAAAGACCATTTCAGTTTGTTCCACAGTCAGAAAATGTGAGCCAAAGTCTATCAAATCTATGCAAAAATTTCTGATCCGTGGGTTCTGAATGAGGTTCAAAATGCGGTTCAGAGTATTTTAATATAGACCCATAACATATTAAACAAAATACTATTCTGTTTGTGAAACAATGTGAACAGTACAATACAAAATTGACTCAAGTTTGCAGCGAAAGCCTGGATTGTAAACTTGTTATTTATGTACAATGCCTCATGCAATGAGACTCTGGTGTCTAAGCACTACTGGGATAAATATAAGATAACTGGACCAGTCAAATCATAGACGAACATGTGTGCTCACATTCGATCTCTCATATACTCACAGACATTTATATTTATATTGGCTTTTATAAAATATGTAATACAAAACCATTTAAGATGGTGGCTATTAACCTTTATGGACTCAGGGCACCCCTTGTTAGACTAAAGGCACCCCACAGAAATTGCCAGCTCTTAGTTTTCACTCACTTTTTGAGTACAGAAAAGTAATAGAGAAATTCTTTTGTTGCAAAGAACTTGGAAAGACCACAACAGGTCAGAATGATTTAACTGTCTATATTCCTATTTGAAATCCTTGGGTTTACCTTGTGAATTATGTTTGTATACCTAACAGTACTGTTGTATACCTAACAGTACTAACAGTGCATGGCCCCCTTGAAAAGATCTCAAGGCACTGTAGATTGCTATGGCACCTTGGTTGAGAATCACCAATTTAAGGTAAGGATGAAAAATCAAGGAAAAATTCTAACCAAGAAACTTCTTTACAGTAAGCTACTCTCTCTTTATGATTTTTAGTCACAGCTATTTAATATCCTCTTATGCCTCTAATAAGCCTGTTTGCATACTTACTGTCACTGTCTCTCTCTTTTCAGTATATCAAGAAATTTTACAATGCAACTTGGGAAAGAAGATACAACTCCTCAATAGATGAAGGAACTCTTACACTCCTCTGGTCTATAACTGTGTCAGTTTTCTCTATTGGTGGACTGGTGGGTGCTATTATTGTCACCCCAATTGTGAAGTTCTTTGGACGGTAAGTTTGTTATAAAGCTCTTACTTTTCTTTCTTTCTTTAGCCTTTCTCTCGCATCAAGAAAAATACCTTCCTATATCATAGTGAATCTGTATTTCAGTTTAAAGACTTTCAAGTTAGAAAGATTATACTGGATAACTTTAGGGGTGCACTGATAAAGATTTTTTGGGCCAATACTGATACCCGATTATTGACCAGCCATATCGGCCGATATGGATCTGATTGCCGATTATGCAGCTAAGCAGCTTGGAGAGCAGCATCTAGCTGGGCATGGGTCTGTTGTGGGAGAGGAGTGTGGGGGAGGGCAGATTGAGGCCCATGCAGTGAGGTAGGGAATGGGGCTGGGGCTGGGGCAGGGTGGGATGCCAGATGGAGCTGGTGGCTCGTCTGGGGGTTGCAGCTCCAGCTGCTGTGTGCACCCCTAGACAGGCATGAGGGGCATGTGCTAACAGATATGTGGGTAGTGCTAGGGTGGGCTGCCGCTGCATGCTTGGGGCCAGGGTTGCACTGGGGCAGGCAGGGCAGGTGGCAGTGATGCTGGGGCAGGTGGGGCTACAGTGAATTTTGGGGTGGCTACAGCCCCCCATAACTTTCCCTCCCAGTGCCACCACTGCCTGCTCTGCCTCTGCCCTGCCCAAGTGCAGCTGTTGGGGAGATTCTGGCGCAGCCCCTGGCCCTGAGAGCACAGCAGCAGCCCACCCTTGCTCCATGCACAAATCGGGGGGCACATTCCCCATGCCTCCCTGGGCTTGTGTGCAGCAGCTACAGTGCTGCCTCTCCCCCTCTACATCTCCAGATGAGCCACCAATTCTGTCCTGCCCTCCCTGGGCAGCACCTACCCCTGCCCCAGCTCATTTCCTCCATCACTGTAGGGGCCTTGATCTGTACACCCCCTCTCCTCCCCGCCACACAGACTTACCAGCCAGATGCTGCTCTCCTAGCTGCCAGGATGCACTCCGGGCTGCACATGCATACTCCATTTATTGTTGACATTATCAGCTACATCAGCCAAAAAATGCCGATTGCCGGTAATGTCAATTTTTCTTTTATCGGTGCTGATGTGATATGGACCGATTCATAGATGCTAGGGTCAGAAGGGACCTCAACAGATCATCGAGTCCAATCCTCTGCCTAGGCAGCAAAGAGTGCTGGGGTCAGATGACTCCAGCCAGATGCCTATCCAGCCTTCTCTTAAAGACCCCCAAGGTAGGGGAGAGCACCACCTCCCTTGGAAGTCCGTTCCAAATTTTAGCCACCCTTACCGTGAAGAAGTTTTTCCTGATATCTAGCTTAAATCTGCTCTCTGTCAGTTTGTGCCCATTGTTCTTTGTTACCCCAAGAGGTGCCCTGGTGAACAGAGTATCTCCAATGTATTGGTGTACCTCGAAATTCTTTCTAGAACAGTGATTTACATGTCATTTTGCTTTTAAATGTGTAACTTGTCATGGTGGTATTCTACTGTAGCTACACGAGGAAGTCTATCGTTGCTGTCATTCTGTGACCTCAGGATTCATGACATTCACCACAGGCCTGCCTTTTTTGCTGAAGTCCAATGAGAATGAGCTCCACAGAAACCATGGTCAGTTTGGCCCTGGGTGAGCAATAACCAAATATAATGGATGCACTCCTGAACTTCATTGCTACTTTAAATTAAAATGCATCACACTTGTTAGGCATACATGAGGGAAATAATGAGGGCATACACCTCAAAGCATCAGTGTTAGTTCAGGCAAAAATTTTTGATCTTCCTAGTTCAATCTTTGGCGCATGCTGGTTTAAACAGGATGCAACTTAGAGGGAGATATGGAGATCTCTTGGTCTTGAAGCCAAAGTGCCTGAATACCCAGGAGTTCAGGAACATTTATTTTGTTAGATTTGGCTGTACTGGCTCAAACCACATACTGGCTCATACACTGTATTTTTATGCCTTTGTTATTTTTCTCATTTGTGAGGGCTTTTGTGCCATGTTATTTTTTAACTTGATACAAGAAAAAAACATTTAAAGAAGCAGACTAAAACTGAAAAATCTTGTTTATTCCTTCCATATACATTTTCTTCTCTTTCTTTATATTCAAGATCATATGTTGTTCACATGCATTAGTGGCACCATCCACACTTAGCCAAGTAGAGAATTGTAAAGCTTTAGGAGCTTCATACAGTAAATAAAGACTTTTGGCAGGATTTGAAAGCTGTCCTTCCCCAAAAAAGAGAATTTTGAGTTCCAGTTAAATTTCCAGCATTCAAGAAGGTCTTAAATATTTCAAAACTACTTTTTAAAATGTTTTTTAAAAGAAAACTTACTGAACATTTATCTTAAATCCTTTACTTCAATGACATACTTCTTAATGAAATATATTCTTTTGAATCATTAACAAGTGTCATCCCAGAAGTGTAAATACATAGATGTGACACAGCCCCCTAACACGTTGCATTTAAGACTTGATTAGCACATTGAATATATCTTGAATAATAACCCAGCCACACATTAAAAAAAGTGTATGTGAGGCATGATAATACAATTAACACAATAGCCACAAAGCTATTCCACATACAATGTTTATATCACTCCTTAATTTGTATCATGCCTTAAATTGAATGTGTGGCTGGCTGGGGCTGGCTCATGATAGATCCTGTTACTCAGCTGAGTGTCAGGATTGAGGATAGGACAGCCCCAGGGCCTGAGGCACAGCTGTGCCAGCAGCCTGATCTTGGGGTCCCTGTGTGCCTGGATCTTTAAAACCCCATGTACTGCTCAGCTGGATTGAATACAAAGTTTTAACTCTGTCATGACTTGCAGGGACCCCAAGATTGGGCTGCTGTAGACTGGTCCAGAGGTTCCCATGCCTGGGGCAGAGTTAAAACTCCAGGTCCAGTTCTGATAATCATCCAATTGTTGGGTGGGGCTGAGGCTGTGACTGGGGCTCATTTCAGATCCTGGTTCTGTCCCTAGCCTCAACATGCAGTCAACTGATTTTCGGCATCTGGGTTTTAATGTCATGTCATAGGGGCAGCCCAGATTATGATCCCTATCACACCTGCACTCCTGGGCTCCCCCTGCATTGACAAGTAAGGCATAATAGGGATCTAATTCTCTATTGTTAAATTGCATGTCCAGCCATTCATGTGTGACATGGGAGGAGGCATGATTGTTGGGATCATGGCTTAGTTCCCATGGCACTTTCAACTGAACATCTGTAAGAGGCCTAAAAATATCTCTGCTACTGACAAAGTAGCATTTTATGAAGTAGGCTGTGGCCTGCAGAAGCTTATATATTTCTGAATGAATTAAGCTCTAAGGTGTCACCCCGTTCTGCCTTCTGCCTGACTTTAGACCAGGGCTGGGCAATTATTTGGGCCCGAGGGCCACATGGAGGGTTTTGATAAGCTGTTGCAGGCCAGGTCAGTACCTCTCCCACCCCAAACAAATCACTAAAAATTCCTTTGGGCCTGTGAGCAGTGGGGAGCAGGAGGGGTGGGCAAGGCTGGAATGATGGAGCTGGGTCATGGGGTGGTAATAGCTCAGGACAAGGACCTCTTCCCTGCATGCCCCTCTGGGGTGTGTGGAGTGTATGTGAGGAGGAGTGTGGGGGGCATGTGTGTGTGGGGGGGCTGCCTGGGCACTAGGTTCTGGGAGCCCATGGGGGTAGGGGAGTGGGGCCATGTACAACAGAGCTTGCCTAGGCAGTGCAGTCTGCAGCTCCACGTGGGGCCAAGACCATCTCACTCACACTGGGGCAGCCCGTGTCATGCTTCCACCAGCACCCGCAGCCGAGCCCTGGCCAGCACTGCCTGGGTGCTGCTCTGCTCCCCCTGCCTCCAGCAGTGGCTCCTCCTGCTGCTCCTATCCCTGCTGTGCCGTTCCAGGCAGGCAGGTGGGCAACTTCCCCTGGGCAGCTCATGCCCTAGAGCACTCTGGCCACCTTCCAGTGCAAGAGGGCCTGGAGTGAGACCTGAAACCTTGCCTGCTGGGGCAGGAGCTGCCTGGCTGAAGCTGCCCAACCGGCCAGAGTGGCACAGGAATAGCTTCTGGGAGGGCTCTTCCTGGTGCGGCTGCAGCTAGCTGGAAGCTGCTGTGCTCCCCCTGCTTCAAACAGTAGCTCCTGCTTCTGTTGCACTGTGCCCTTTTGGCAGGAGCCACCACTGGAGGTGAAGGGAGCAGAGCAGCAGAAAGCCAGCTGCAGCCACACCAGAAAAGCTGTGCTGGGAGCTGTGCATGTGGGCCTGGGCTGGGCCATGGGTAACAGCAGAAGCGTGACATGGGCTACCCCAGCATGAGCAGGTGGGGCTTGGCCCTACGTGAAGCACCATATGGGCAGACATGGGCCAGATCCAGTCACTTGGCATGCCGGATCTGATCCATGGGCCATATTTTATCCACCCCTGCTTTAGACTAACAGAGACTCTCTCTCACTATCTTTGCTGCTGTTCCACTTCCTCTCTCTTTTGTTTACTCTCCCAATTATTTTTTCTTGATTTGAACTCTCTCTCATCTGTCACTCAAACCCATACTCTTCTAAATCTAATTGCCACTTTCCTTGGGTATTTCCTGTCTTCCACACTTTCCCCCTTTTTCTTCACACAATCAAATTTTTATTTATTTTTACTTTTTTCACCTTATGCAGTATTGTTTCTGGTTCTCTCTTCCCATGCATACCTGGCAAAAATCTGTTCTCTTGTCTTCCGAATCCTTCATTCACCATTCCTTTCCCCCCCCCCCCCATGTCCTG